CGAAGTGGGGGTGGGAGGTTTGGGTGGTTTTTTTTTTTTCCCCCCCCCCCCCTTTTTTTTTTTTTTTTTTTTTTTTTTTTAAATCTGGCAGTAATTACGTTAGCTGATACTTGTTTTTATGGCGGGTTATAAGTCAGATCCTCAAGATAAGCTTTTAGGATTTTTTTTTTTTTTTATATGCACGTTTCTAGAATGTTGCGGTGTTTTAGCGTCGTTTCTTTAGTATTTCCTAATTTAGATTGTTTATGGGGGACGCATGGTCTTTATGGAATTAAGGAGCTATTGTTATTTTCCTAGTTGATGTTTGAGGTGATTAACTTTGCTCGCATAGCTCGTAGAAGAAGAAATCTGCTCATCAAGAAACCTCCAATTACGATTTTGAGATTGCTTTCGCAAACATGTTTGAGGGATAATAAACTGTAACTCGAATCCACAATGGGATATTTAGTCAACCAGTTTTTACATATTTAAAATATTTTTCTTTTGTTTCAGTAAAATAGCATCCGTTATGTGGAATGTATTCTTACCAACGGGTTTAAAAGAATGTGAACAATAATATATTTTGCCTTAAATGGCACAAAAATAGTGTTTGGGAGAGTGATAATTTTTTTTAATCCGGTGCTTGGAAAAATAGTTTAACCGAGACGTCATTTTGCTCTTTATAACTTCTTCTGATTATTATTAAGATTTATGTCAGAAATTATGATTCAGGTACACACCCCCTCACCACTTGTGTTAATATGAGGTCGCAATCACCACGTATTCACTATTCACTTCAGCAAAACTCCCACTGCACTCCGGTTACGTTTTGACTGAGCCACATCAGAATTTTGCTTAAGAAAGAACATTGACTAAGGCTCACTGTTTTATTAGTGAGTATATTCTTAAATTGCTCGTATTTTCTCTTAAGACGGGAAAATAAAAAAAAAAATTAAAAAAAAAAAAAAAAGAAAAGAAAGTTCTGCCTGTAGACAGCCACTGCTATGCACTTAATTGTATAATCTCGAATAATATACCCGCCCAAGAAAGAAAGTATATGCGCATATATATTACACGACTACAAAACCATCGAATGGCAATAAATAAGTACACACACATACAGGCACACACAACCCTACGGAGGGGTCTGTCCACGCACTAGTGTCTCTACCAGCGTTTCGGCAGTTTTGTGCACTGAAATGTTCTTGTTTTGGAAACAGCCCCCCCAACCCCCACCCCCTTAGCGCCGTGGTGAAGGTGCCTGGGTAAATGGGTCAAAAAGTGGTGGAGAACTGGGTTAGGAAGAGGTGAAGGTGAAGATCATTAGAGGTTTTAGGGCTGGCTGTGGCTGTTTTGCTGGGTTTGTGTGACTGTGCCCAGAGGGCGGAGTTCCTGCACATTCCTACCTCACCGGAGAACCTGCCCTCAACTCCACTGCAGCTACTCCAGAGAGATGGGACCCTCCAGAAGAAACCTGCCCAGCAATCCCAGCAAGCCTTCCCACCAGAAGGGTAGGTGCACTTCAAGAAAACCTTCCCTACTTCTTCTCCCAACAGGCAGATCCATGTGATACCAATGAATAGAGATGACAGACTTCTGTCTAAACGTACAGTTTCCCTGTGCCCCCTGATAAGCAGATCGCCCGTGCAACCGAAGCAGTTTCAAAGCACCAGTTACACCAAAACTGCGTGTGTTTAATGTTAGGATTTTTTTTTTTCCTCTTTTTTTTTTTTTTTTTTTTTTTTTTTTGTGTCTCTTCCTCAAAGTGTTTCCTCCCCCGGCCTCCCCCCTCCCCCTCGGGCTGTTTCGTTTCAAGCGGTAAGTTGGAAGTTTCTTCGGGGGTTTAAGCAGTTCTCAGGGTTTATCCGCAGATTTTTAGCTGGGTTTGTTAACGTGCTCTTTGTTTGCTTGTTTGCCACTAACGCCAGAGAAAGTCACACGGGTGCAATGTTGTGTTTGCCTTTTTTTAAGATGCCAGGAGAAACTGCCTCTACCTGCAAGAAAGGCGCACGATGGCATTTGGGGATGGGAGTCCTCCTCCGGCACCGGGTGAGTGC